GAAACATCTCATGGCAACTGGACACATCGTTGACCCACAAATGTCGTTCAAGCCGTTATTACGTAACCTGAATCCCAAGATTTTGGCGTTTAGCGAAGCGCTGCTAATCAAGTTACGTAACCCAGTCCTGTGTGCACAAAAGTCCCTTATACAATCAGTCAGACTGCCATGGACTTGATTTCCCACCCCACCCTCTCCCCCGTTTCCCTGATTATTGTCCGTCTTACCACTGTAGTTATTAAAACCTGCTTGTATAAATACCAGATTGTTTCACGTTGTAGCGACTGAAGAGATTAAAAGAAATGTTAACATCTCGCAGTATTTGTCTTCTCTCTGTTCTAACGAATTGGATAAAGGGGACCCAATGTTTCAAGTTTCTATTGGATTTCATAAGCGAACTCTTTGTAAGTTCTTCCTATAATAAAAATTTTAATCTGAAAATTTGACCCATCTTTGTTTAAAGAACCGTGTCACCGTCATCATAGACCTTTTTTATTTAAGTATTTTATATCACTGGTGGTATTGTTTGTTTACAGCTGTATCACCCATTTTCCCCAAGGGTCAAGTGTTGTTTCGTTTGGTAGGTGAAAAAGTGGCAAAGGTGCAAAAAACATCCAATGGTATGAAGGATTGTTGTCGGGAAATACAATGGATTAATCCGTATAGATCCAAATAGCAATTTGTCACCCCTTAGGTAGTTGGACATTCTGGTTGCTCTAGTTTTTTATTTAGATGGACTCGCTGTGAACACTTGATGAATCAACGGAATTCTTTGTCATCTTACACTTTTCAGGGCAAGTAATACGGGAGAAAAGTGTATCTATAGATGAGCAACATTGTCCACGCGAAAGGCCCATATATGAGCAACAACACTGGGTTTATGTAAGCTAACTACAGACACATTAAAATAATGAATTGCCGAAAATGATTATCAGAAAGTCGACCTGTCCCCGACACCGCTGGTAGTAACCTATTTCCTTGAGTGAATGTTTAATATCACATCAACACCACAGGTGTTACAGGTTGGTGAGACATCACTCGGGACACTAGTTACGTTTCTGATTGATTTCTCGGAAATTTTTTGGAGGGGGGGGGACTATTCTAGAGGTTGTTTGCATTCTTCTGGTATATTATTCAAATTAAAAGTGAGTTGATTAATTTCAAGTTTGACTCCGCATACGAAATCAATATGGTGATGAAAAAAAATATAAACACGCTCAATATCCTGCCCGGTATTATAAGCATTAGCGCTACAATGGTTACGTGAGCTATATATTCACCAGTTTCTTGGCACGTGACCAAAGCGGTTCATCTGCGGTCAGGTTCTCTCTATCAGGGAACTGAATCGTTTATTCGGTTGCTGACAGACTTATTGTCTGTATACTGTCAATCCATCTCTAGACAATGAATGAGCACTTCAAGTGTTGTGATGAGTATCAATACTGTACTGTCGAAGTATCATGATAATATAGGTTTGTGATTTTCATGCATAAAAAGCTATATATATATATATATATATATATAGTCAGTGAGATGAAGTCATGATTGCTAATCACAACGCACAACACAACACAGTAACAAAAAGAATGAGAGAGGGAAGCGGGTTAATCACCAAGACAAAGCTAATGTGACTAACCATTCATGTTGTTTGCATAGATCGGGTTTGAGGGTATGAATGGCTAGAGCCTCGGTAAATTTCAGTAACTTTGTGTTTGTTGTGTTGTAGATGATCTGAAATGCGTCGGTTGGAGTGACAGTGTGTTTGTTCGTACAAGTGTTGCGTTACTGGAAATCTAAGTCTTTTCTGATCATTTGATGACGTTACAGTTACAAACTTGTCGTCCANTGCTTTCTTAAGCCACATCGGGATGTATTCGCCCATTCGCTGATGTAATTGCCTCTTTGTCCTGCCTATGAAGATGGCCAAACATCCACACTTGAATTGGTAAATACAATTTGATTTGGTGGAGAGTAGCAATGTTTCTTTCACCGATGTCGTTGGTATCCGGGTGGTAATGAAGACAATGAATGGGTCAACTGTGTAACAGACTCGCTTGACGGCAGAGTTCAACCGCTTGCTAACTAGCTCACTCACGTCATCGCATTTACATATATGTATATATATATATGTTAACTGAGTTAAAATGGGTTTTGCGAAACCATTGGTGTTGCGCTGGTGACTACCAGAAGACTGTAATCTAATCATAATTCAAGTGATTGTCTCTCCAGTTCTAAATTAGAAAAAGCCTGGTAATGAGCTAAACCGCCCGTTTTTTGTCCACGGTT